TGTAAGGATCTGTCCTCAAAGGCAGAGGAAGATGTGCCCCTCTGATGTGTGGTTGTGTCTGCATAGTTTTGATTGTCAGACTTGGGCTGTGTTGGTGGCTGACATGGAGTTGTGTCACTTGGGATTTCACTATGAGCTGCTGGACATAGCTTAGCTGGTTGAGGTGCGTTTATCTGAAGTTATGTGCTGGAAGAGCATCAGCTCCACAATAGCTGCTGGACATAGCTTAGCTGGTTGAGGTGTGTTTATCTGAAGTATGTGCTGGAAGAGCATCAGCTCCACAACTCACTCGATTGAACTGGACAAGGACATAATGTGAGATGAAACAAAGGCATTTTTCTCAGCTTGTGTGCAAAAGTAGGAGTTGGAGCTCTGCAGTGTATTATCTACTGGCTTCTGCATTCAGCACAAGTAATAAGGCTTGAATAGCCTACATTAGCACTCTGGTAACACAGCGTTTGATTGCTGGCAGTTGCTTGACTGGTATGTTTGGGCTAAATTTTCACATTAAAAGACTTGCAGTGTTTTTTTTCCCCTTATCAATCAGTGGATGAATTGCAGAGCTGAGCACATCCAGGACTGTTAGTCAAAGCTGGTGTAGTCAAGCTTGTACTTGGAGGTGTGAAAAGCTGTGCTCTGCAAAGGCTAGACAGAGATTTGTCTGAAGCTGACCTGTTAATCTCCTGTGCTCTCTGCTATATGATGCATGCAGCCACTCCAGCTCTGGAGTGGAAGTGTCCTCTCTGTGTGGGAGAGGGACTGTTAGAACAGGGTTATTAATTCAAGTGAGTTAAAAGCTTGATGCTGTTTTTCTCACTGTTTCAACAATTCAGGAAAAACACAGCCTGAACTTGACAAAGACAGAAAATAACAGCAAAGGGTTTTCTTGGGACTCTTCTCTAAACTGGTGGAGTGAAACTCTAAAAAGCCATTGTAGGGAGTAGCTGCATACAGCTGGGGCAGAAAGGGAGTTTCAGCCTTTGTGGTGTGTCCACAGACTACAGCTCCAGGTAAGGAACAGCTGTTGAAGGAGAGAAATCTGGTCTGCTCTGGGCTTGTACCTCTCATGTCTGCCCTGTTAGAGTGACCATAGCAGGATGGGCTTCCTTCTAGGGTTCCTTTCATCAGACTTCCCGAGAGCTGACTCTTCGAACAGATCTTTCGGAAGGGGTTAATGACTTAAGTGGTTTCATAGCTATTGGTAGTTGTAAGTGTATGGAGCAAGGAAGCAGCCTGGTTCAGAAAGATCCACTTGAGTCTGCAAGACTGCTTTAGCTGGTGACTGACTTATATTTATTGTCCTTCAACTTGGTGACTTGCTCAAGGTATTAGGTGGTTCTTATTCTAATGAGTGGTTTATGGAGATGCCCAGTTTTGGCACCTGTTTTTAGCCTAGCAGTCCTCTCTGCTTCTCTTCAGCCTACCAGGTGTTAAAAGTGTTGTGTTTTTTTCAAGCTAAAGATAAAGCTCCTTGGCTGACTGCAGTTGTGTTGCCTTTGCGGCTCGAGGAACTGCATCTCTTGGGACTTGTTATTAAGTGCAGGGGAAGTAGCTGGTGTTGTCTCTTGCCCTCTGTGTGCGCTTCCTATTGGAAGTGAGGATTAGTTCTCCAGTGAGAGGCTGACCAGTGCTTGGCAGCTGTCTTCCAGGGCTTTGGCTTGGAGAATGCTGGGTGAAATCTGGGGACAAGGAGTTCCTGTGGCATGAAATACTGAGTTATTCTGTGGTTTCAGGCTAGTAGTGAAAAAGCTTAAGCTTACTACGGAGGAGGCGCTTGGTCAGAGCAGCGTGTTCCAGCTTTCTTTTATTGCTTGGCTAAGGCTGTAGAGCAGACTGACTATAAAAATACCCAGATGGGAAGATAAATGTAGAGCCCAATGCAGCTTGAGTAACACACTGCTCTGCAGCCAGCTACCTGCTAAAACCTGGATCACTCTTGCATTAAGTAGAAATGCTACAGCAAGGTGTCAGACTCTGCTTAAGAAGATAGCCAGGTCACTGCTGTTCATACACTGTCTAATCCAGCCTCTTCCTAAAGCTAAGTAGATCTTAAGCTCTGACTAATCTTCTTTGAAGCGTGAACTTGTGCCATTACCCTGCAAAAATCTTCACGCCACTATCTCCAGCTTTCGTTGAACATAGAGGTCTAGGGTAGCTTAGATCTAGTTGTTGTGGATTTCCTGAGCAAATAATTCTCCAATGCTATTTTCACCCTTTACAAATATTAGGACCATGGCCAACAGTGCTTTTCAGACTGGGGGAAACAGTATGAGGCTGCCCAAAGTGCCCTGGGAGCCCTTGTATCAGGCTAGTACTGACTGCTTATGTTACCTACTAGCCAGAAGGAGGAAAGGCTCTTAATGTTTATTTTTATGTTTTAATTAATAGATCTCCAGAAGCCAGCCTTTTAGGGAGCAGCTTTCTCTTAGTCACTGACACTCCTGATCCTAGTAAAGATGGAGTAAGCTTGTTGGGAAGAGATTAATGTTTCAGTACTTCTGCTACCCACCTTCTGAATGTCCTGAGCTACTTGAAAACCTAGAGCTAGAAACCTACAAACGTATGGACATACATATGCATAATTTATGACTGCAAGACAAGTGCTATGACTGTCTTTCAAGTGCAAGACACTCAAGCTGCAGTTCTGTTTAGGTTTAACCACTGCTAAAACTTCCTGCTTAGCCTAAAAAGACTCCTGACCCCCAGAGAAACTGTATTTAGATCCAAACTGTTCTTTAGTTAAAAAAAACCCCAAACAACCAACCTCTTGATGTTGCAGTGTCTGATCTTAATTGGCACTTGCCAAAGGGGTGTGAGGTGAACATAATTTATATTCATCAGCATGGCAAGGCAGATGCATGTCATTGGGCACTATCAATTTAAGTTGGGTAAAAACTTAGTGCTTTTTTTATTACAAAAGTGCAAAAAGCATTAGCCTGGGAGAATAGCTGAATACTGACAGTTTTCAACTTTTTTGGCAGGGAGGGTAGAGGAGATAGATAGATGGATGGCTGCTCATCCTCCAGAGAAAGGAGATGCTAAAAATAAAGTGGAAGATACCAATGCTGTTTCTGGTGAACAACCTCTTGGTGGCTTTTGTTTGTCCCTGAGCACCTGGTGCATGTGTGGCCTGTGACAGGGAATTATTCCAGCAGCTCAAATTGCTGAGGGCCAGGGCTGCAAGGAGAGTGGAAAAAGTGACTCTGTTCCCTGAAGGCTCAACCAGATAATGGAGCCTGCAGTATTTGATTCTGACTTGTGTCTCTCCAAGCTGGTAATGCTGAGGTTGTTGTCTGGACTACAGACAGCCCTGAAAATCGTAAGGGTCTTCAGCTAGAGAAGTCTTTCTCTCCTGTATGGAGCAAGAGGTATGTTTTGCATGGGAAATACACACAGCTGTGTGTGATCAGACCAGAAATAAGCTGTCTGTCTTGATTGTGTTTAGCTGACTGAACACAAATAATAATGCTTTCAAGAAGAAAACAACTGTACATGAGCAGCAGGACACAGAGGGCCTTTGAGTTAGATGGACTATCACAAATGTGGTGTTACTGAGATCCATCTCCCCACAGCAGCAGTTACTTCTTGCACAGCATCACATGGATGCATGAGAAGACATGGAAGACATGGAATGATACACCCTTGCATAACAGCAGTGCTAGGCAGCTTGCTGCTGCACTGTGTGTGTACAAATGCAGATAATATTTATCTATATGCTGTTTGGGTGGGGAAAGGAGGAATCTAGCAAGCTGGGAGACTTGTCCTGGTGCCCATGAGCAAGACTGCAGAGGGTCATCTTTGCTCTTTGGAAGACTAAGAGGTGGTTCCGGCAACTGCAACCTCTTTCCTTACCAATATTTGTTAGTCCTGTGGCTTGAAGGTAGGAGCGATTCACTGTGAAACTGAGACTATACCAGCTAAATCAAGTGAAGCTGTTGATGGTTGGAGGCTTCTTGCAGTAGGGCTTGACTGTGTCACTGACAAGCTGCCTTCTGGAACTGGGAGGAGGACCTTACCAGATCTGCTATGTGATGCAGGGCTGTTTGCTGTGTGCATGGGACTTCTGTGACCAGCTGTCCTGCATGTGTTGAGGCCTTGGATGGCATGGTCTTCTGCTGTTGAGTGGTAGTGCAGCAGGCCCAGGACTGAGAGGCACATGCCCAGATAGAGGTGGCTGCTGCTGTGAGGTTCTCCATCTGCCTGGCAGCCTGAGCTGTGTTACTGGAGGCAACAGAGCCCGCCAAGAGCAGGCCGTCAGCTGGTTGGATCACTGCTGGGCTACTGGTTCAGCGCTCTTGGAAACTCTTGAAGCACACAATGATTATACATGTGAAACTTTCTGGAAGTTCCTCCATGGTGCAGTGCAGCATAAACACTGTGCTAATGCAGCAGTGCTGTAGCCTTTCTCTGGGAGGCCAAGGAGCTCCTGCAGGACATGACACTGGTGTAGCACTGAAGCCTCTTGTTTTGGTTCTGGTCCTGTGTTGCTCTCTATAGACCTGCCTTGTTCTCTGTGCCAGTTCCTTGGTTTCCTTCTCTGTCAATTCACAGAGTAGGGTTTGCTATAACAGGCCTGAGACTTCAGCCTAATTGACTCTGACGAGCATCAGTCCTGGCCTTGGCAAAGGACAAACAGGTTGATCTTCATCATATACTTCCAAGTTTGATGCCTGCTGGGTAGAGCATAACACTCTACCATGGGGGTGAGAGCTTGGTAAGGTCTGTCTTGGGCTTCGGATGAAGGTTTGGTTTTGTCTGGTGTGAGACTTCATATGGAGTAGGCTGGGAACAGTAAAATAGATGGAGAGATCCGTTGTTTGGGATGCGTAGGAAGGGTCTGCTCAGAACTGGCCATAGACTAGCATGCTTGGAACTTGTCACCCAGTTATTTAAGGCCCTGGGTCAGTAGGTGGTTATGTGTAATCCTGGTTCCTTTTTCCCTTTCTAGGTCTTGCACCCTGGACTTGTCAGCCTTGCAGGCTTCTGGGCACATCTCAGCTATGAGTAGATCAATAGAATTTAACATCTGTGTGGTCACCTGCAGCATCTTGCTCTTGTCCTCAACTCTACCATGCCTTGCATCTCAGCCAGTAGAGGAGAGGGACATGACAAAGGTCCAGCATGGCCCGTGGACAAGGAATGGGGTAGAAGATGAAAGGACAAGCGTACCGAACTTGAAAAGTAACCTGGGCCCTTCTGAGCAGACTGTCTCTGAAGAGCCGTGTGGAGTGTCAGCAAAGCCATCTGAGATGCCCTTAAATGAAGCTTTCACTGCAGAAGGAGAGACGCTGCCTGTAAGCCTGAGCCATGTCACCCCAGGCAGCCAGGACCTGGGCACTCACACCTCTGTTGTGGCAGTGGCTGCTGTAGATGAGGAGGAGCTTGGTCCCACAAAGTCAGAGCTGGATGAGGATGATGCATTCAAGGCCATGCTGACCACAGCTGTGACCACACTGAACCCTACTGTCCAGGAGGAGTCTGTTGGTGGCCCCATTAGTGAGACCACTGTGGAGGGTGGTATTGAAGTAGAGCACAGCTCTGCTGGCCTCTCAGCAAACCCCCTTTCTGGGGCAGCTGTGGAGGAGGAGGAGGCAGAGAGCAGCTCACACCCCTCAGCTGCACCCCAGCCCACACTGTACCCCGGCTCTCCCAGCTGGGAAACAGTGAGCAACCACCCTGTCATCCCGACTCCCCAGGCTCCTGGTGTGACCTCTGGGGAGGGAATGCCAAGAGCCCGCACAGGGAGCCCTCTGAAGTCCCTGGTGGTGCAAGCATCTGTGGCTGCGAAACATCC